GATATATGTATACATATAGTTGATTCACTTTGTTATAAAGCAGAAACTAACATACCATTGTAAAGCAGTTATACTCCAATAAAGACGTTTTAAAAAAAAAAAAGAAATTTACCCGCATGTGATGCTACCACCCAGATAGCCCTTCCTCTCCACCTTTCTCTTCTATGAATCTGTTGCCCCAAGTACATCCATTGTGCTCTTTTTTGGTTTTTGTTTTGGTTTTTGTTTTTTGCGGCACGCGGGCCTCTCACTGCTGTGGCCCCTCCCGCCGCGGAGCACAGGCTCCAGACGCGCAGGCCCAGGGCCCATGGCTCACGGGGCCAGCCGCTCCGCGGCACGTGGTATCCTCCCGGACCGGGGCACGAGCCCATTGTGCTCTTTGTAAAGCAACTTGGCTTGGTGTACCTCTTCATTGTGGTTTTTCTAGTCTTCCAGCTTAATCATAATTTTCCTTGATAGAATGCAAACAGGATAAAAATTTAGAAGTCCTGTTTCCTCTGTGTCATTTATTGATTTTATCTAATGCTGCACAAAGTACTGGACTATAAGAGACAAGGAATTTTCACCAGAATTTCTTCCTTCATTGAGAAAGTCTCACTATTGAAACAAAAACAAAACAGCTGAACTAAAGAGAATGCCTAGTAATGTGGTTGACTTAAATTCTGACATAAGCTCCTTATCTTCTCACAGGCCAGTAACAGACAATTTGAGGTCCAGCAGCCAGTCCATGGACCGCTTGAGGAGCACTGCCTTATGCCATCAACTGCAAGCCATGGCATATCTGATGCTATGATAGAATTCTGCTTGCCGTTTCATAGCTCAGTTTGCAACTTCCCTCAGTGGCTCCAGAGAACTCTTTCAAACTTAAAGAGGTACAGCTAAGGAACAAGCATTATTTTGGAGATGTTCCATTTGTGGGGTTTGGAATTTCAGAGGTTAGTGATACTTATAAGTTGGCAAATGTTTCCCAATCCCTTTAAGTTCACTGTTATGCAAGTTTAAAGTCATTAGCATACCTGTAGAATGCCCTTTTACAAAACCTTAAAACCGTGAAGTGGAAATTCTGCCCTCTTGACACCATGTCATTAATATACATGTATGAATCAGGGTTTTATTTTCACTCAATAGCCAGTGCACTGCTAGTATGGAAGCCCCTCTCTGTCGGAGATCTGTCTTCTTGAGCAGGACAGAACTTATTAGCAGGTGCTTTGGATCAGAGCATGTTCTTCAGGGACAATTCACTGACTCATTTTTAGCCACTCTGGGGCCAGTGCCAATGACAATACAGAGAATTGATAGAATTATTATTAGGCAGGTAAATATTTCATATGAACCTTGGTTCTTGATGACATAAATCACCTTTTTTTTTCCTATTAGCAGATGCTAAATAACCTAAGAAATCACCGTTCTGGAAACCATTTATGGTTAGATTCAGAGAAGTCAGTCTTTTTTAGTGGCTCATGCCTTTGCAATTGTTTTCTATCAATAAGAGAGCCAAATTTACTTTACTGTCTTTAATTTCTTCCCCAGTTCCAAATATGTATTTCTAGCAGTTTATTGGATATCTCTGCCCAGGTGATTTTTCTCAACTAAATTTGAACAATGTTTCTCCACCAGATTATAAAAATAAAATTGCAAACATAATTTCCTGGGTACATACAGTTTTGGAAAGTATAACTATTTACCCCAATTACTGGGTATCAGCACCTATCCCCTACTTCCCCCTTCCTTCCTGAGCCATCCTTCCCTGTTATGTAGCAGCCATGAGGTTTGGGTGGGACTGACTTCACTTCCAGTATCACTTGTGGGCCCTCATCGGTATAAATCAATTGATGTAATCTTATCCCCCTTGCAATTGAATTTGGTCCACATATGGCAATAAGCCAAGGCAATTAGAGAATGGAATTCCCCTGGCTCCCCAGGATTAGTTTAGGTTGGTCCAATCAGAGCAAAGTCAAGCACTTTTGTTCAGTGCATGTATGAAGTATGGCTCTCACTCCCCCAGATGTGAAAGAGCAAGCATGTAGCCCCAGCTGCTGCTGCTGCTAGAAGTCACCTCATTATTAAAAGTTTATAAGAGGAGGGAGATGCCAAGAGGGAGGAGATATGGGGATATATGTATATGCATAGCTGATTCACTTTGTCATACAGCAGAAACTAACACACCACTGTAAAGCAATTATACTCCAATAAAGATGTTAAAAAAAAAGTTTATAAGAGAAGCTGGCCTTACTATAAATCACATAGAGGAATGCAGACCTGAGAGAATTTTAAAAAGAAGAAGCAGCAGCTGCTGCAGCCTGGATCAAAACACGCCTATGACCTAATTTTGAACTTTTAGTTTACATGAGCCAAAATTCCTCCTTATTGTTTAAGTCAGTTTGAGTTGGATTTTCTGGGTGGTTTTTTTTTTTCCCCTGTTATTTGTAACTTAGAGCAGGGGTCCCCATCCCCCCCACCCCCACCCCCTGGGCCGCACAGCAGGAGGTGAGTGGCAGCTGAGCCCCATTGCTACCCATTGCTACCCATCGCTGGCATTACCGCCTGAACCATCCCAATCCCCCCAACCCCGTCTGTGGAAAAATTGTCTTCCACGAAACCGGTCCCTGGTGCCAAAAATGTTGGGGACCACTGACATAGCATCCTAACTCATACAACTTCCCTACAAAAGCTATTAAAAATCAACCAATCACAAATATGTATTGGACATTAATCAAGCCACTTGAGACATACTTAAGAAGCAGAAAAGTTGGTTGTTTAAAATCTAGCTGGGGAATTCCCTGGTGGTCCAGTGGTTAGGACTCCATGCTTTCACTGCCAAGGACCCAGGTTCAATCCCTGGTCAGGGAACTAAGATCCTGAAAGCTGTGTGGTGCAGCCAAAAAAATTTTTTTTAATAAAAAATTAAAAAATTAAATCTAGCTGGAAATAAGGGATAAGTATAATTGTAATAACATCAGTCACTGACTATTCAGTACTGCCTCAGTGTCAGGCACCACACTAAGTGCTTTACACATGTGATCCCACTTCATCCTCACAACAACCCCAGAATCTGAGGGTAGGTAAGATTATCCCCATTCTAGAGAAAAGAAAATGAAGGTTCAGAGAGCTTATGTACTGTCACAAAGCTAATAAGAATTATAGGGGGCTTCCCTGGTGGCGCAGTGGTTGAGAGTCCGCCTGCCGATGCAGGGGACATGGGTTCGAGCCCTGGTCTGGGAAGATCCCACATGCCACGGAGCAGCTAGGCCCGTGAGCCACAACTACTGAGCCTGCGCGTCTGGAGCCTGTGCTCCGCAACGGGAGAGGCCGCGATAGTGAGAGGCCCGCGCACCGCGATGAAGAGTGGCCCCCACTTGCCACAACTAGAGAAAGCCCTCGCACAGAAATGAAGACCCAACACAGCACAAATAAATAAATAAAGATAAAATTAAAATTAAAAATCTTTAAATGGTAGTGGATAAAAAAAAAAAAAAAAAAGAATTATAGAAGAATCCACATCCAAATGTGTGAGATGTCAGAGCTTGCGGTGCTTTTTGTGTGTGTGTGTGTGTGCTTTTTTTAAAAATTTTTACTGAAATATAGTTGATTTACAATGTGTTAGTTTCAGGTGTACAGCAAAGTGATTCAGTTATACATATATATATATTATTCTTTTTTAGATTCTTTTCTATTATAGCTTATTACAAGATATTGAGTATAGTTCCCTGTCCTATGTAGTAGGTCCTTGTTGGTTACCTATTTTATATACAGTAGTGTGTATATTTTAATCCCAAACTCCTAATTTATCCCTCCCCCCACCCTTGCTGGGCTTTTAATCATGCTCTTTACATGATTCTGCTATAACATGAACTGAAGCTCAAAGAAGGAAAAAATAATGTTAAAAATTGATATTTTGCAGGGGAAAAGTTAAGGAATATAATATAAACAAGATCTGAAATAAAAATATTAAGATAAATGTAAGACAAAATTAAGAAATATAAGATAAATCGTAACACTAATATAACCTTCCAGAAGACCATTCCACTATAAAAAGATTTGGACCAATACCACAAGTACAAGATTTTTTAAAACATACACTCCTAACTGGTAACTTCAAATAAAATAGCAGCCATCATTATAAATATTACTGGCGGTAACTCTTAGAAAATATGCCAGGTATTTCTTTAAACACTTTAGAACTATAACTTCCTATAACTCATTGAATCTTCACAAAAACCCTAGAAGGCTGGTACTACCATTGTCCCCATTTTACATATAGGGAAACTGAGGCACAAAGATGTAAAATAATTTGCCCAATGTCTCAGCAAGGAAGAGGTAGAGCAGGATTCCACCCCAGACCTTGTTGACCTCCAGAGTCCATGCACTTTATCACCATGCTAAACATATTTAACCATGTAAAATCCTATATGACTACAACATTTGAATATCTACCATGCAAGGCTGGGAGGCAGGAAATCTCTTGGTGTAGCAGCGAGAATGAATGAAGGTTTTGGCTCCTACTATTGTGGGGCTGGACTCAAATCCAGGCTCTGTGACTTACTAGTTCTGTGACCTTGGGCCAGTTACCACGCTTCTTTCAGCCCCAGATAAAATACTATTTACCTCCTGGAGCATTTTTAATACAGGTAGGCATTATTCTTTTCTGTTCATTCCAAGGAACACTGTTACAAAGGCAGTCTTACAGAATATCATCAAGCAGCTAGTTAATTTTAGAATAATCAATTGTTAAAATTCAGATGGACATTTAAAAAATTGGTCTGTGTGCAGGCAAAGCTTGTGCCACTGACAAGCCAAAAAAGGAAATAATTAATACCAATCAACTCACAGTACTTCTACAGAGACAAGTAAGATAATATTTATAACCGCCCTACCACAAAACTATACAAATTCTAAGCAATAGTGCAATGGGAAGTCTTGATATGCAGTTTGAATATTCTAAACATGAAAAATATTAACAAAACACACACATACTTTAAACTGGATTTAATTATACCTACCATGTCTGCAGAAGAATTGAATAACTACTTTGCACTTATCAGATCTGGTAAATATTTTGCACTTCTCTACATTTCTTTCGAGGGAATTCAGACATCTAAAGATAGGCAGAATTGACTGTAACACAAACACATTATAGAAGAGCACATACTTAATATGGTTGCTTGATTAGTTTAAAAACAACCTAACAAAAGAAGAGTAAGTATATTCGTAAATGAACAGACTGTCCTGCATGCCATTTAAACCAAGTATTAAGTACAGAATAGGTGTTATGCCCTATATAATGAATATTTCTACAATACAAGAGAAAACCATGCCCACTTACACTTACCTTCATTCCCAATTTGCAATTTAAATTAGATACTCTGTCACTATCATTCATTTTCACTGAGGTTGACCATTGATAATGTTGAAAAAACACAGGCGAGAAGAGGACACATCCATATGCTGACCGGCAAGAATTCACAGATCTTAAAGCAAGCTAGAAAAATAAAATAATAGCTATAGAGGAAAAAAGTCAACTTTAATGATTAATTTAAAAAATTCTATTATGTTTAACATCGCATTGAAGTGTGTCCGAGTAAGGCTATGGGATGTGAACTGCATGATATGGACTACATTATACACATAAGTTATAGTACTGATGTAATATGGACTGCATTATACAGTGTGCATTTAATTTGCATATGTACACACATCTAAATGGAATATATTATATATAGGTATTAAGTCTAAAATCCTGCATGCTGAAATTGTATTTTTCTTTGTTTGTTTTTGGTAACAAGAACATATTTATAATTGTAAAAATGTAAATGCCCACAGGGGCCTTAACTTTAAAGCACAAAGTGGCAGAAGGCAATATAAAAGGGAGTAAAAAGATTGCAGCAAAATTTTCCCTCGCCTAAGGGGAGAAACTGTTAGTCAGCCAACTACTTCCACTTGGGAATGCAGGCCCCAAACTATCAGATATTCTGAGTTTTCAACAGAATCAGGAAATTCAGATTTTTATGTGGACTCTGCCAATTAGTGTTAGAAAATTATTTCATTTTTTAAAAAAAACATAGTGCAGGCCCCACAAAACATTTCTGCAAGCCATATCTAGCCTCTTGACCACCAGTTTGTTTCTTCTGGCTTAAATCAACTGTGTATGATTTTTAAGTTTACCACGCTCTAAATGTATTTAGATATGTAAAATAAAGATGAACAGTGAAAGGGCTGATTAGAATTTCTGGATTTCCTAGTTAACATTCAATCTGGACTGGGATTTATAAACATCTTCTTTTTTCCTTAATCTATTAGTTAAATTTCTTACTTACACCTTTTTCAGAAGGGTCTAGCCACAGCTCATCACTAATTCGTGAGAGTGCTTGGATCGCTTTCCCAAATACTATGGAGAAAAAGAAAGGCGTCTTTTACATTCTTTTTCTCAAACAATAAAATCATAGGACTACTTCAGCATTCACAGGACTCAAGATAAATTCATAAAGAACAGTGTTTTATAGACTAATGCTACAAATAGTTTTAAGAAATACGGTATAATACCCTTGGCAAAATGCCAGACACATAGTAAGTGCTCAATAAATTAACAGAATGAGGGATTTCCCTGGTGGTCTAGTGCTTAAGACTCTGCCCTCCCAATGCAGGGGGCCTGGGTTAGATCCCCAGTCAGGGAACTAGATCCCAGGAACTAGATCTAGATCCTGCATGCTGCAACTAAGACCCAGCGCAGCCAAATATATAAATAAATATTTTTTAAAAATAATAAATTCACAGAGTGAGTGTGTGAAATAATAAAATGCAACAAAATTCTTCCTTTCTATATGTTCACAGTGTTGCATGGAACTATTGTGGCAAGCCAGTTTCCATACTAATGCATTTTTAAACTTGGTTTAAATAAATGTATACCCCCACCCCCCAAAAGTGTGAAAACAGAGCATATAGGAGATGGTTTGAAGGGTTTTAGTCACTTCACAGGCAGCAAAGTCAAAACAAGTCATGAGAGAGAAATTAGAGGAATTCAAGATGTATCTCTGATGTTTGAGCACAGAACATGCCAGATCTTCCCAGAAAACACAGTTAGATGTCCTGTCAGAAAGAGAGGCCAGGGCTGGATGAAATATTGGTCTTATCTGGTATGACACCATTTGTGTTCTTATAAATTATAAGTAAAAAATATGGCAAACAGATATGGGATACTATGATGCAATAAAAATGGATGGCCATATCAATCCATGGAAAAGTAGAAAAAAGGAAAAATAATTTCAGAACATAAAATCAGATTATTATGCTTAAGAATCAGAGTTGGCTGGCTTCCCTGGTGGCGCAGTGATTAAGAATCTGCCTGCCAATGCAGGGGACATGGGTTCGAGCCCTGGTCCGGGAAGATGCCACATGCCGTGGAGCAACTAAGCCTGTGTGCCACAACTACTGAGCCTGCGCTCTACAGCCCGTGAGCCACAACTACTGAGCCCATGTGCCACAACTACTGAAGACCACGCGCCTAGAACCCATGCTCCACAACAAGAGAAGCCACCGCAACGAGAAGCCTGCGCACCACAACGAAGAATAGCCCCCGCTTGCCGCAACTAGAGAAAGCGCGCGTGCAGCAATGAAGACCCAACACAGCCAAAAATAAATAGATAAATAAATTTTAAAAAGAATCAGAGTTGGGGGAATTCCCTGGCAGTCTGGTGGTTAGGACGCCGCAATTCCACTGCCAAGGGCCCAGGTTCAATCCCTGGTGGGGGAAATAAGATCCCGCAAGCTGCACGGCACAGCTGGAAGTGGGGGTGCAGGCCTCAAATTGAGAAAGAGAGGATGACTAGGGGGAAAAGAGGCGTTTGTCCCTTTTTACCACTTCACATTCACCACTTCTTCCTGAAGCTAGCTAATGAAGACCTTTCATTCATTCAATGAATATTTATTGAGCACCTAGTATGTTCCAAGGACGGTACAAGCCAAGGCAATGTGGTTGCCTTGACCGGTTTACAGCTCCTGCCCTCACAGGGCTTAGACTTACGGAGGAAAAACAAATTTAAACAATCATACAAATTATCACTTATTGAGAACTAAGGTACACACTGCAAGAGAGAACTTTCTAGAACTCTGAGAACATGCAACAAAGGGGGGTCTTGTGCTTCCCTTTCCTGTTCATTAATACTGTTCCATAGAGGTTCCATAGAGGTCGTCAACACAGGGAAAGCCGGCTGCAACACAAGATGCCTTTCAATAATCACTTTCAGGTTATGATCTGTATGACCATTACTTTTCTAAATAGAGACTTTCTGGAGTAACTTACATGTTTAAAGTACCATTTACAATAAACAATAGTTCTTATACATTCCCATTCATTACTGAGCTCTTTACCTGCATTTTATTCCTACAATAAACCCTATAATGAAGATGCTGTTAATATTCTCATTTTACAGATAAGAAAACTGAGCCCTGAAGTGATTCCGTGGCTTGTCCCAGGTCATACATTAAAAATGCTAGAATTTGGAGAAAAAAAAAAACAGGTTTATGCTTTTTTCTCATGGCACTAAAATACTTTTACTGTCCAAGCATTGTTTTTCCCAACTTCCCACACAGTCCTATCGTCCCGAGTTTGAAGCTGCCCTTCCAATATTTGTCCAGATAGTGCAACTTCATTTTATGGACACCTATGAATATAAATATTATGCATAAATAAAAGCAGATGGTCCGTCATTCGCCCCTCAGAAGCTAACAGGACCCTGGGTGGGTGGGTGCCGGCTGTGGCCAGGCCTTGTGTCCTCAGCCCCTAGGCAGAAAGGCAAAGATCAAGAAACTAGACGATGGTGGAAACTTCCCCATGAACTTTCCCTTTTCTACACAGAAAGGCAAAAAAGGCCTCTGCACCTTTCACCTGACTGCCGCTCATCCCGCACTTCAGCATGACTGCAATCCCTAAAAAAGTCAGTCACTCTGCGCGCCTCAGCTCGAGGGCCCCAGGTGCCCGGATGTTGCCCGCGCTTTTGGAAACTTCGCGATCTTGGCCACCGCCCCACCACAATTTCCCAAAGAAAAACTTCGCTTTACGGCCAGGGGGAGCCTAAGCGGGCCTCCGTAGAGCTGTCTCTCGCCGACTTCTCTTTTCATTGGTTGTGAGCGAGGTGGGCGGGTCATCGAGGCGTCTGAGGAAGAGAGGGCGGCGGCGGTTGTGGTGACTGAGCGGAGCCCAGTGACAGGATGGTGAGGGCGGCAGCTGCGGCGACCGAGGCCTGCCTCTCGGTTTGGGTGCTGCGTCGTTGGGAGACGCTGGGAGTCTGTGGGCGAGGGCTTAAACGATCCCGGAGGCCGTGGCGGGCGCGGCCGGGGCCCGGGCCTGGGGAAAGACAAGGGAGGAAAGAGCGGCCACCTATGGGTGCGGCCAGCCCTGGCCTCGCAGCCCAGTCCCAGGAGCCACAGGACGTCCGAGGGGGGAAAGGGCCCCTTTCAGCTGCTGCTTCTGTCACGAGCCCCTCACGCCCGAGACGGGGAAGGCCTTTGGGCCTGTGCCTCGAGCGACACAGAGAAAGGAGCCCGGGAACTCCGCCGTTTCCAGACGTTTCCTTGCTCCTTTCGCGCAAAAAGCACCTCCCGCTAGTAGGTAACCCACCGGTTACCACCCCCATGTGGCGAAAGTTGGCTTCTCGGAGGCAAAACGGGAAGAAGCAAGCACAACTCGCTACCCATTTTAGTTTGCTGTCTAGAGTAAGTGGATAAGAGCTGTCCTCTTCGCCCCTGAAATAACGTGTAGCTGCCATTGAAATGTGGCAGTGGGCCCTGAAAAGGACTGGATTTAGCTTTTAGGGTTGCTGGAACTACTTCCTCAGGTTGCTGCGACCCTTTAGAGCAGGATTCCTTAATGGTTTTCGAACTCCTTGAAATGGTTTGGAATACGTTTTGGAACGTTTTTCTGGTGAAAGGATCATTGTTGGCAGCAAGGAGTAGTTTGGGAAGCTTTACCTCATTCGTCCATCAGATTGCCCCAGATCATCCCCTCACCCCCAGGAGGTCGGTACCCCAAGACCTGCCTACGTGAAAACTCGGGAACTGCTGCCAGAGAGGGCTAATAGCGGTAGTTAGATTTTCAAAGTGCCCTCGACCCCCTACAAAGTGAAGAACGGTTTTAAAAGGATTTCTGATGATCTTGGTATTTGTGTTGCTGAAAAGAGACTTCTCTCTCTGATGAACATTTATTGCATTTTTAAGATGATCGTGATTCTATGACCAGCAGCCTTTAAGGTGCCTTATAGACGTGACAGCCAAAGATTCATGGTCTTTGGTTCTTGAGCTTCTTTATGTATGTTAGAGACTTTAATCCCACTTTTGATTTTTGCTTCTAAACAGACTCCAGATTAGAGTAGTCCAGTTTACAGTAATTTTGAGACAGTTATCCTTGGGAGAAGATGAAATTACCTGACATGATTTCTATATTAATGTTTCTGAAGATTTTTTGAGAGGTGAACACTTTTTCGGGGTAGTTGTACTGAAATATCACTTTTCATGTGAAATAGAACTGGGCAAAATTTAGAGTTAGTCGATTCTTTTACAATTAAAAGCATTTTACTTGGCAAAAGAGACCAGAAATGTTCAATATACAGCAGTGTGCAGAGTCTGTGGGCAGCAAATTCAAGTGTGGGGAAAGTCCAGATTTAGCTGGAGGAAGGTGTCTGCTTTTATCATCCAGTACATCCAGTACTCGATAATGTATTCATAGTGCTGTGTTAGATCTTCTGTACAAAATGACCTAGCTGCAGCATAATTTTCCAACTACTAGAATTTTAAACATAGGAGGATTCAAATCAATATAGTTGAAGAATAATTAGTCCTAAAGGATCCAGAAAATGTTAGCTTTCATTTAAGCTATTGCTGATGAATTTTCCAAATAAAATTCTAAACAGAACAGGAAACAACGGATGGGAGTCAAAGTGGCGAATGAGATTAGGAAAAGTCGAAAAAATTTTAAGTGTGTGTGTGAGAGAGAGAGATTTAATAGTACAGCAAATGGTTCTTTTGGTAATGTTTTGAGCAAAGCTGATTTTTAACATTTTCTTTCATAACACTTAGAAATCATTAACAGTTGTTTGCATATTCATTCGATGAGTTTTTTGTTCTTTTTTTGGTTTGTTTCTTTTCGTTGCTTTCTTTTAACATTGGTCATGTTTCACCCTTTTTTTTTCATTCCCCTGTCTGCAATCAACTTCTTCATTCCACTAAGGCTGGGCACAGAGTAAGTTTCTTCTCTTAGCTCCTACTAACAATGGTGGTTGGGTGCTGTTACTGGGATTTCACCCTTTTATGTCTATCAAATAGGAAATAACCAAATTCCTATGCTTTGATTAGGTTGGTTCTTTATTTGAATTTAACAAGACTGCCATTTCCAGGATCTTTTGCTGTCTTAAAAGACTCTGTAATCTATGTCTAACCTGAACTGTCCAAAGTGTGGAATTTGGGCAAAGACACTGCTCAAAGTATGGTATTTGTTATGTGACACTATTCCCCCTATAACTTAAAAAGCTGCAGGAAATCAAAGTCCTAGTAAGGATCCTTACTAATTTGAAATAGTTTCTGTGTGGCCATTCATAGTTATATCTTTAGACTGCTAATAGTCTAGGTACACTTGGGCATAATCCTCAGTACATTATAGAATTTAGCTCGTAGATCATTATAAAGTATCATGTCTTACTAATGTTCGTTCTACCACATTCAGATTGAACAGCTCATTCATTATTAGGCCCAAACATTTTCAACCTGTTATAGACATATATCCTTAATTTATGAGTTTGAGGTTCTTTTTTTTTTAATATAGAAATCTATTTTTTTACCTTTTTCTCAAATGCCAGCTTCCCACATTAACTATGTACTTCAATCCATATCTGAAAGGATCCCCCTCTAAAGATGAAGATTGTTCTATCTCCAGGTACTTTTGTATTGATTATCACTGAGGGTGGAAACTATGTGGTGGTTTTTAGTTTTATAGATGTTTTGTCCACTAAGATCTGGATTGAAACAATATGTCATTGAGCAAATACCAGCTGAAACTACTCTTTGTAAAGAAGCTTATTTAATAATTTCTTTTAAAGTGAGCTAGTTTTGTAACCTTGTGTTACCTCAGTTACTTTATGTCCTGATAACATTTCCTTTCCTTTGTAATCATTTTGATATTTGTTGCAAGATGAATCAAGCTTATTGTGGTAATAATTTTAATTTTACACATTTTGGTTTTGATTAATTTCAACTTACAAAGTCTGTAGTGGCCAAACTTTGCTGTTTATCCTGTTTTAGATACTTAATGTTTTCTTTGGTAATATTAAAGAGTAGTCATGCGTTCTTTAGAACCAGTTAAAGGGCATGTACATTTATGGATGGGATGTCTGTGTGGGAAAGCATCCTGTCATAGAATGAAGGTGCTTATACTGTCTGCAGCCATACCACCCTGAACGCGCCAGATCTCGTCTGAAGGTGCTTATACCAATGGACATGGAGAAATTGATTCTCTTTTCTTTTGGAGGGCGAATACTATTTTTAAATGATCTTTTTTACATTATTGTGTTAAATGGTGTCTATATGTCAAATCTTGAAATTTTAAAATTAAAAACCTGCAGGATTGAGGTTTTTTAATTCTTTTATATTTATATGCAGAATTTGTTTTTGTCATCTGAGATTGTTCCAACTCTAAACCACCTCCTGCTGA